TCCTGCTAGAAGCTTCATGAGGGCATGTCTTAATGAAATCTCTTAGAAGGTCAGATAAATCTAAATGTGTAAGAAATAGTTGTGTATTTAAAAGCCAAGGATATATGGTGATTCTGTTGATTGTGCTAAAAATTAAACAAAGCACCAATGTAAAAGACAGCTTGCCTTTCTCATTGAGATACTACTTTTTTGTTTTTGGTACCAGGGATCGAACTCAGGTCCTTGCGCTTGCGGGGCAGGTGGTGGAGCCACTGAGCTAAATACCCAACCCAAGATATTGCTTTTGAAAAATTTGATCTTGAAATAATCTTTTTGAAATTGTGGAATTATATATCCATCTCTTTGGTCAATACATGTTACCCAATTGAAAATGATGGGATAGTGGGATTAGAATATAAGAAAGAGGGTTACAATAGCTTGCTACTGCTTACCTCTTTTTTTTTCTTTTTTTCCAGCTGGCCATCATGAAGTTGTAGCTGTAGGCACAGGTGAATACAATTGCAGCCAGTGCATCCAGCCACATGGAAGAGTGTTACATGACACTCAAGGTGTTGTTACAGCAAGAAGATCTCTCCTTAGGTAGGGTAACGAGTGCATTTAATGCCATCAAAAAGTAATGTTTCCAGTCCAAAGTCCACATATGAATGGTTTGATTTATCAATGGAATTTTACTGTTCCTTGAACCAAGGTTATCACAGTCTCTTACTTGTCCAGTTCATCCAATTATTTTCATGTTACCTTTGGAAACATAGTAGTAACTTAAGTGTCTAGTGTGTCAATATTAACACCTTCCATTATTAAGTGCTTATAAAGTAAGTTCTAAGAGTCTTACAGTTTTATTCAAGATAGAGATACCATCTCTTTTTTTACTGGCTGAAGTTATTGGAAAATATAGCTTTAGATTTGCACCAAGTAAGCTTGATCATTTTTCACCTCTGAATTAGATATAATTATTCAAAGACAGCATTAGAAACTGACGTTTCCATTTGTGATGTCCATGGGTATGGTTTGTCATACAGCAGAGTGTCAATAAGGTATTCTTCAGTCTGACAGATATCAAAGAGAAAAAAAAAAAGGGCTGAGGTAAGCATGCCTAGTTACTTTCTCCAAACTCATCTATCACTCTGCTTTTTGCAAGAAGAATTAGTAGCAGTCAAGGGAAAAAAATAGGATTGTTACTCTTTGGCAGTCATTGGCAGTCCCTCCTTATGAAAATATAAACTGTGGGAAGTGAATGTTATCTCCTACAATATCCACTTGCTTTGAGCTTACTTTTTGTCATACTTCTTCTTATGGAAATTTTCAAATGCATCTGGGAATAGGATAATAAATTTCATCATCCAGCTTCAGTGGTTATCACCACTCTATTCTTTTTATTTAATCTCTGTATTGCCACTTTTTGCTGTTGACGTTTTCTTCTTTTTTGGTACCAGGGATCGAACTTGGGTCCTTGCGCTTGTGCACTGGGCATCGAAACCACTGAGCTAAATCCCTGACCCCTGTTGTTAATGTTTTCTTTGTTGGCACATTTAAAAACAGATTTTTTTTTGGTACTGGGGATTGAACTCAGGACCTTACGCTTGCGAGGCAGGCGGCAGAACCACTGAGCTAAATCCCCAGCCCTGAAAACAGATTTTGACATTTTACCTGATCTCTAACAATAAGGAAAGAATCCTAAAATCTAAAAAAAAAAGTTATTCGAGTAGTCTGTATGCATGCTACAATTCATTTTCTTCCCATCCTCCTTGGTACTAATAGAATTATTTGACCTCTTTAAAGGCTACCTCCTTTATATTTATTTCTTCCAC